CTTTGAAACACATGCAGATGAAATTTGGAAATAGCTCATGGAATAGTATAATTCAAACTCTGCAGTGGATACTGTTCAACTGTGGAGTTCCCGGAAACAAAAGAGCTGAGAAATTATATAGCTAAGGAAGGTGCAACTGAAGAACAACCTGGCCTATCAGTCTCTTATCAACAGAAGCAGAGAATAATCAAATCAATCAGAAAGCCACCAAATCTGGCACAGGACGATTGCCATATTCTGGACAAAACAGGTCATTATTCGACGCCTTTAAATATGACACAATCGACTTCGCAGCAACATGTACACACAATTTAAGACTGGCGAATCAGCCATGTGCACAAGTTGACTGGAACCTGAGACAACAGATCACATCCTCCAAGACTGTTCAAAATTCAACATACCTGGGCAAAACTTCTGACCAAAAAAGACACTGGTGGAAGCCAACCTTTACGCGCTGCTAAGTGAATTCAAACAGGAAAGTAGGGAAAGTCCTCTTTGAAGCATCAAGTGCCATTAGGCATAACAAGAACTGATGAAGTGAATTCAAAAGTCAGTGACGGTCTTACTAACAGAAAGAACATTACAAGTATATCTTCTTCTTCTTCGTCAGCATTCCGAACCCTTGAGGTTTATTGCTGCAGATATCACCCGCCTCCATTCATCTCTCTGGTTGGTATTCTCTTTCCAGTTGGTGACACCAAGTGTTTGCAGGTCTGTCTGGATATTATCTCTCCATCGTCTTCTTGGTCTGCCACGTGGTCTACGACCATTCATCTCCCTTGTGTATACAGTGTTTACTTCTCTGTCATACGGTATTCTTTCAATATGCCACAACCATTGCAAGTATATAAATAGTGTATTTCAAGCGAACGAAAGAAGAAGAATACAATTCAGAGAGAAAGAGACAAATTCTTAATTACATCCTCCCCCCTCCAAAAATTTCTTTGTGTCGCCATTCCTGCAACAAATCTCTAGGATAAAAGGGAAATGGGAATGACTGGCTCAGACACAATCTACTAAAACAACCCATCCGGTTCTGGCTGTTTTAACGTCAAAGACGAAACATAACCCAAGCTTATCAGAGTGAGCAGTGATTATTCGCTATCATATAATTTGCTTAATGCCGCAATGAAAGACACAAGAGACTTTAGCATATGGCTCGGCACACTAGCTGGTTCAAAACATTGCATGCATGACAACAGGAATGTATAGCTGACTAAATTGTTAAAACGCAAAAGGCAATATAATTTATTGCTCGGAATACACACCCAACTGTTTCATTTCTGGGATACTAATTTCAGTGCGTTTGTGGTTATCTTTTAGATGTCCTGCAAGGACTTGCTATAGTTAGTTGAGTGATTGAAATTTTAATCTTGTTATCATGATCAGCATCAATCAGCAGGTTCTTTACAGAACGTCGCTCTATTTACCTTACGCCTGAAAATCGCTTTATCACTAGCCAATTCTCCAGCCCTATGTGCTTTAGATAAGTATAGTAAATGACCCCTTTTCCACGACTTCAGACGCACTGGGCATATAGGGCTAGACTTATACTTTATACATCAATCGGCACTCCGTGAGTTATTTGGTCAGCATCACGCTGGCCGCCTTTACTTCCTAGGACTACCCTGGTACCCATCCAAGGGACGGTCGATCTGGATGCCAAAATCATTTTACCGTCTAGCCACTACATCACGGCGGTTTCTCTCTAGATAAGGCAAAGTAAAAGAACCTTTGTTACAATGCTGGTCCGTCAGACAAATGCTACAAGACCCATATTTTTACGAACCAGTCTACAATCGGTTAGTAATATGGTCAACACAATACTGGCCGCATTTGCTTCTGATGGCATTTCTTAGTACCCAGTTTAAGATGGATCAAGTTTGGAGTCTAGATCATTTTTATATAAATCCGTTGTGATTAAGATTCCAACTCATGGCCTTCAGGTCGCTCTTAAACGTTTATTCAATAAGTCAATCAGTTTGTCCCTTCCAGGATGATAGCTAAAGGTTTGCCACACGATCCAGAGATTTCAACAATAAGAAATATAATCTGGACGTTAGACCAAAATGAAAGATCTCAGATATTCCTTTCAACCTCATGGAAGTTATAATGAGGGCACCTGTAACGGTCACACAGCCAGGTGTAATCTGTAGGTCAATGGAAGAAAGGACCATTTACTACCGCTGCCCCCTGCATCCAGGTGGGGGATGATCCCAGTGACAACATTTCAAGCCGTTTGTCTGGCGCTCTGAACCATTTGGATATTAACAGTTGTCTGCGCCCGGAGCAGTTAAGTTGATTAAACCAGCTGCGCGGCGGAGATGAGACAAACTCCTTGTAGTCCGAGTTCACGCTTGAGGGTAAGCAGAAAAGCCACATATTTTCCAGATTTACGGTATCTATCATGGAATCAATGCCGAAGAGTTGCGATATCTATAGTACCGAGCCAAAGGGTTTACAACTCATGGTTTCCGGATTTTTTTTTAAACAGTTTTTCTACGTTCTTCGGTTCAGAATTGCATTTTATGATCAACCACGTTCCCACGTGGGGCGTAATTTGACGCTTTTACGAAGCCCCGGGTAATCCTCATCCAAATGGTGGCACTTTGTTTTACTGGGTGTTTATCGCTCAGCGTGGTGTCCTGGTGGGGTGCAACGTTGTATGAGATTCACTGGGTTTTTTTACTGGATTTATGTAGCTGTGATTTGTGCGATACTCTCTGCAGTCTAAAAAGTCATTTGCGGAAAGAAACTAAGCTATGTGCTGCAATGCAGTCAATGCTGTCACTTTTACGAACATTGTAATTAATATTAGATGATCGTACAAATGTTTTCCTTGTCGATTGTTAGGGGTCATCCTAATGAATGCCATACATGTTCCTGTAAGGAAGAAAATATGGGGGTGACTGCAGTCAAGCTAATACAAGAAATTCCAGTGAAATGTGACTTTAAAGCTAAGCGTAATGGGGAAGTAGAAAAACGCACACAAAACAAAACTAATAACGAAGTTATTAGCGAAGTTTTAGAGATCCGAATACTCTCCTCTTTGTTACATTTGTGTAGTTCACTTCTTGTTTTACAAGGGCTGCCGGCCGAAACGTTATTTGTGTTGTTTTGTGCACGTTTTTCTGCTTCCCCATTTCGTTAAACATTTTAGTCATATTTTACTGAAATTCCTATAAGGAAGACATGTCTATAAGATGAACAAATTCGTGTTACACTGCCCATGTTAAAATGTACACAGGCCTGACTATGTAACATCTGGCGACTCCAGTTTATAAAAAAACTTTTAATTACACTTAAAATTACCTGGTATTCATTTTTTAAAAATGACTGTATGAATACACAAAATTAACGCATTTGCTCTTCTGTTTCTTCACGTTCACCGGCTGTAAACTCCAGCGGAAATCTCTGGTTGTTTGTCTACTTCTGGACTCTAGTCCTGATCCAGAAACTGAGTGTTGCGTGCACATCCGTTTTACATGTCTGCCTCATTTACATGCAGACTGTTGGTTCCTTGTCTCTCAGGCAGATGTACTCTGACTTCGAAGGATTAAAGCATTGAAAATGTTAGTTAAAAAACAGTATCATTATCCCCCTCTGTGAACAACCTAAAGCGATATGTCATACTGAGGTTTTCTGCTTCTTCTTCTTAGCGTTCGCCAGCTGAAAGTTCTGTTTGTCAACGTCTGGACTTTAGTTTTGTTCCAGAACGTACATATCCAGTTTAAAGATATTTTTATTTTACTGTTTGTTCCTTGCCTCTCATGCAGATTCACACAACTTTAAAGGACATCCCTAATTAGTCGACTCTTACGACATGCTTATTAGGGTGGTATTGGGTCTGTTCTTTCTTTTCCCATACAATGGGGCCCCAGAACCCACACGGGGATTACTGATGTCTTGAAATGACTGTTCTTTTCATTCTCGGATTCTGGCTGTGACCAGTAAACATTTAAAAAAATAAAGGAATGTTCAGTACTCTGTGTTGCATGTACACATGCGCAGTTCTGAATCCCTAATCTTGAATGTCTTGCACACATGGCTGCAGAGTCTGCTATGTCCAGTACGCGATCTAAATAAAATGGCCTGTTTCCTTCGTGTGAGGAGGTTGACTGGGTCTTTATGATTGTATCCTGGATGGGAAATGTTCAAATATGATCTAATCGCTGTTTTGATCTGAGTTTGTCAATAAGTTATAAGGGAGCTGCGTAGTCTCGAGGCGTGGTGTCCGCCTCGAGTGCTAGAGGTTCCGAGTTCAATACCCGGTAAAGGCTTTGATTTTTTTCACGTGGACTTGGACTTCCAGTAATCCCCCCTGGTCTATGGGTAGTGAGATCGGACACCCGTGTGTATTGTTACGCACGTGAAAAATCCCTTGGCAGCTGGAAATCGAAAAGAGTAGCCTAACGGCGTTGCCCGGGCACAATTTGGAGTTTAAAATCTACTGAAAGTATTTCAGGATCCTCGCCGGTGCTATAGAGCCTGTGCACTGTGCTGAGTTTCTTCGGACTCAGACTTCAGTTAGAAGAAGGACGGAGCACTCATGGGTTACACCTTTGTGCAATTATGTTGATCCGTTGTTTAAAGCCTCAAACCACTATAAGTTATAAAGTGTATGACCGATGTCACT